AGCCCTGCATTGTAATATGACATATGTTTTGAGTTTGTGTATAAGTTTGCTTACATTTTGTAGAGCCCCCCCTGGAAAAAAATGCACCAGCTGCCACTGGAGTTTACGTGTCTGAAAAACGATGGTTGTTAACAAGTGGCTGAATAGGACTACAGAAGTTGTCGAGGATGTTGTACGTCATTACACCGAACACGTAAACACTCCAGCTAAGTTTGTTTGCCCCTGTTTTAATAATACAAATAATAACTTAGATTTATCCAAGGTCGCTTTACAGAAAAAAACAGGAGTAAAAAAAAACAAAAAACAAAAGCAGTCAGACAAACAGTCAATCTGTTCTGCTTGAAAGCAAGTACCTGCGCTCTTGCAAACTGTTAAAACACTTTAAAGGAGAGGTGTCATGGCCATTTCCACTGATCATAATTCCATTGTTGAGGTATACTAAAATAGATTTATACTGTGCATTTTTCCAAACTCACATTGGTTTCTCATACAGCATCTCTGTAAAGTGTGGGTATTCAGCAGTATTCACTCTCTCCACTAAACGGCTCGTTGTAGCTCCAATAGCTCCAGCCCCCACCCTCCCTGTGAGCCCAGTGTACTCTGATTGGTCGGGACGTTGTGAATCGCGCTGAGCTCCGTGGAGGTGTTGTTTCCTTGTTTAGGATACATAGCGAAACACAGCCAAACTCATCCTGAGCACACACAAAGTCACAGCCGAAGTAAAAACAATAAGTGTGGCTTGATATTGAGTAAGAAAAAGGTTGATAAACGCTGTGAGAATGGGTCTGCGGAGAGAATTTTGCCACGATCCCAACTGTCTGTTATCAGCCTGCAGCCAGGGAGGAGAAATCAGCAGAGCTGCCTGCACTGAGTGTGTGTGTGTGTGAGGAAGTCCGTCAATCAGCGGGGGCTTAACGTAACGGCTCCGCGGACGTAACGTAACGGCTCCACAGATTGGTCCATTTGGTTCCGGGTACCGCATGACCGTATCGCGTCATAGCTCTGGGCGTGGCTACTGGGTATCCAGACGTCACAATGCCCAGGAAGAACATGAGAAAGTTCCAACGAGGCGTTTTGGGGAGGAGTTTTACTCCCTACAGGGTGTACTTTGAGGGTTTTTGACTGCAGACCGTTTACATGCATAAAAACCTTCATAACACACAAGGGGACGGGGAATAACCGGAAAAGCATGACACCTCTCCTTTAACTTGTACAATTTTGAATCTGTATTTTTGAAAATCGATCTTAAGTTGGCGTGACGTTGAAGTCGTGCGACCCGCGGCTGTAGTTAGTTTATAGCATAACGTTAGCATGTTGCTTCTGGCAATTAGATTTATGATTCGAAAATTATAAAAGTAGGGCAGACATGTGGAGATTATCCGGCTGAACAAAACGTGCATTAATCAAACAGGTTCGTTTTCCACAGATCTTATTTTTTACAATATTCCAAAATCCTATGGAGAAATCCCATTGCTTTTTTGTTGAGGGAACCCATGCGCAGCTTACTTCCGGTTCAGCCTACAAAAATACGTCATCACTGCACCACTCTATTAACAATCATAAAAGCTAAATACACAACACTTGACATTCAGTCGGCATGTTAATACAAATACAAACAACATTTTTGCAAACTTATTTCAAAGTTCGAGAGCATAAATACAAATTTTCCTCCCTGAAATGGGGAGATATCAATGAAGATGCTCGGACACAATGCTTTCTCTCTGTCAGTTTCATTGAGAATGAGGCATCGTGGCCGGCAGCTCCCCCTTCAGACCTCTGCAGGAATGACTAATCAATCACCAGCATAATCTCTCAAAAAAAAAGACTTAACAGGTAGATCATGGATTAACAATTTTGAAGGAAAGTATGCTGCTTATACTTGTACAACATTTTAACCCTGTTCACCTCTTTTATAGGAATTAAAATGTTTTTAAACCTTTTAAAGAACATACACATTTTAACCTTTTTTCACAAGACTTTATTTTTATAGTAGCCTACTTATTACATTCATAATTATAAATTATTTGTAAATGAATTCCCTTTTGTGACTTTTATGACTGTTTTTATTGCCTCTTGTATTTATATCCATGACTAGTTTCTTAACAAAAATCAATCTATCACAGACACACTACTAACCTGTAGAACAGGAGAAATAAATGAAGCAGAGGGAAAGTTGCTGCCGTTCGTCTGGTCAGTCCATGGATGTATAATAAGAAGTCAGTCTCGCCAGAATGCCAAGTCCGCGGCAGATACAGAGAGTATAACAGAGCTTATACAAGACAAAATACATAACAATAAACAGAAAATGTAACCACATATTTCGTGTTCGTCACACGTAGCTAAGGCAAGCTCTTGTTTTAATTTTAAGGAGTTCAAAAACAATGTGTCCACAGGCCAAGCCCTCCAGCTTGCTATACCCATTCAAGCAAATGACTCGCAACTAAGCATGTCCAAGCAATCAAAATACATATGAGCTGGTCTAGCCAAAAAAATAGAATACTGTAATGTTTCACAGACAGGACTGAAGTTCTTTGGTTTTAATAGCTCCTTTATAACAGAGAACACCTAATCAGGTTAAAGGTTACAGGTTATAGGACCAACTTCATTACCATGCTATATTCTCAACACACTAACACTACAACACCAGGGTCAACGTCACACGCTGACCAGCCCTCCCCCCTCTGCTCCCCCAACCACAGGCCCGCACACCGACCAGCATACTGTGCAGCTCTGTGATTGGCAGAGAGACGGGAGATGCTTGAGTGACCCACACAGCACCCTCTACAGCAGGGATGGGCAACTTGGATGGTGGTGGGGGCCACATAATTGATGTACTGGCCACCAGGGGGCCGCAGATTCACTTGGAACACACACACACACACAAATTCCATGTATTGTATGTAATTATTAACAAATATACGAAGTCTGACATCTTCATTGACATTTTACAATCTTTCAGGGAACATCCTCTAATAAGCTCACTAAACAAATATCAGTTCACATAAATGTTATTTAATTTTTACAAGTGGCATGTTTGTATTGAACAGGTTATTTAACAGTGGAATACAACTATTTTAAACTATTGGAAAGCATGGAAAATGTGTGTGCATTGAGATTAACCATTAAGATGAGATAAACATGAAGTCATGAACACTAACGCAGCCTACACACGGTGGCGTGCGATGCCGCTTGGCGGTGGGCGTGTCTTGAGCTTGGGGAGTTTACGCGAGCAACGCGACCAACAACCAATCACATGAATCTCCCGTGTCTCTCCCCAAGGGCTGGAAAATTGAAGAAGTGACCAGAAAGTCGGGTTTGTCAGCTGGAAAAAGCGATGTCTATTATTTTAGGTACTAAACGAACGGGGGCTTGCAAAAACGTTTAGCTGCTGCAGGACACAAGAGTTTGCGGAAACAAGACAGGAGTTGATAATTGGAAGGGGGGGTCTGTGTAAAGTTTGTGATGGGAAGGGGGGGGGGGGTTTCTGTTTGCAGCGGGGTAAAAAGGCATTAAAAAGGCTCCCGTGTATGAATCTCACCATAGACATTAATGTTTAAAAAGCGATTTTTAATTAATGTCTATGGTGCTATTTTATGCAACATTGCATGGTGGCTAAATATACTGTCTATGCCTGCTAGCTGTCCATTCAAACGAAGTACACTGGATATAAACTCCCCAAACAGGCGAAAACCTACCAGTTTCACCCACTGTCTCTGCCACCTCCCTCCATGCCTGGCTCCTCCGGTTTGTATCCCGGTAGGTGAACAGGGACTGAAAGCACCGGGTGATTCCCTACCACTACGATTATTTTCTCCTCCATTTTTTGGCATATGAGGAAATGAACTGCGGTCTGGCTCTCTCAGCATACACGCGGTTTGATTGGCTAGCGCTTGAACTGTCAGATTTGCATACGCGGGATTTGATTGGCTGACGCCTCCGCCTCAGCTTCAAAAGTAGAACATTGCTCTACTTTTGCAGCGAGCACCGCGAGAAAAGCTACGCTTTGTTCCCAGAATGCAGTTCGGCGAATCGTGACGTCACCCCATTCAAAGTGAATGGGCAGAAGCGTTGAAGCGTCAACGCACGCTGCCGTGTGTAGGGGCCGTAACCCAGACATTAGTTGTCTAACTTGAACCTAAGACACAATAAGGAGAATGTCAACACAGGCACCTGTCAACCCGCACTCTGCTGTTCCTCAGCGCCGCTCCCCCTCCCTCCCGCTGAAATTATGAATGAAAAGCGTATAGTAATCATAGATAACACGGCAGGGTCCGTGACAGTTTGTTTTCATCTGATTTCAAATAAACAAAGTCTTGGTTTTTAGAATATTAAACTTGTTTCGCCAAATTCAGATGATAAATACAACTTTGAAGCTTGTAAAGGCATAATTACATGCGGTAACTTCACAGCAGGCATAACAACAGCCGGTGTTTCTTGTGAGTGTTTCCCCGGGAAACAAACACAAGAATACACACAAACGCGTCACAGATTATTTTGCGGTATTTGGCTGACGAACGAAATCATGTACGCAGATCGCGACGTAACTAGGAGTCTAGTGGACGGTATCAGTACTACAAGTACAAAATAATAAATAATTTGTATTTTATTTGTATTAATTACGTTGTTTATAAATTAGGGCCGCAAAAAGAGGAGGTGGGGGCCGCCATTGGCCCATCCCTGCTCTACAGGGATGCAAGAGAGGTATTTTCTTTAATATATTTGTTGATTTATTTTTGTACCAACTCCTTTCCTCGATCTCTTTTTGTGCATTTATTAGATTTTCATTTTCTAATCCTGCAATCCATGTTTGGAACATGGATTAAGTTCTAAATGATATGTCAAGACCCAGCATCACAACCCTCCTTGCATATTCTTCCATACAGCTTCTCTCCAACGGCCTCAAAAAAGTGCACCCTCCAGGCTTTGATAAAGACTGCCTCTTACCATTTGATGAAACTCTTGCAGCAACGAACCGCAACACAAGAAACACACAGGAGAGCTTTGGACTGATCTCAGACACATTATTTATTGGAAGTTACGGATGGAGAAATGACAGAGACATATTCCTTCTATGCTTTTCACACGTGTGATGAATTTACAATAGAACTTTCCTTTAATCCTCAACACAATCTCACCTTCACCAATTGAATCTTGGAAGAACAATGTACTCGCTATTTTGAAACACTCAATATCCCAAATAATCATTGCTCAGACTAACACAACTTTTTGTCGTTTATCTTCCATGCTGAACGTGCATCAGCGTTCATGTTCATTATTGAAAACCAAGGAGTTCATAGTTCTTATCCAAGATGGGTAATCTCAGCCTTGCTCCGACCACTGGGTTCTCTACAAGAACAGACCAACACACTTACACACAAATACACATGTACTGTAGTACTAGAGCGAACAAGGATACATATGTATACATTGAACTACTAGTTCACATGTATGTACAATGTGTTAGCTAACAGGACGTCAGGTGTGAACTGCTTTGACCTAAAGGGCCTTTGAGGAAGATATTGCACCAGTCATAGAGGGACGCAATGTTTTACTTACTTGGGAAAAATGATAATATTTAAAAGGAAGGATGTCAGAAAAAGTATACAGAAAAAAACTAAATGACTTCATACCATAATACAAGACACGGTATAAGATAAATGTTGTAAAAGAACAGATTTAAACATTGCTTTTACATGAACTGTGATTGTACAGAAACAACACAATTAAGCAGTATGTGTATGAACAGCCTGTAAATAGATTTTCTTTTTCTTAAAGATTTTTTCGGGCAACCAGTGCCTTTATTGAAGGGACCGAGTTGAAAGGGGAGGATAGAGGAGATGACACTCAAATGGTCCCAGGCCCAGATTCAAATCCTGGTCCTCCGCACTGGGAGGCAAGAGCTATACGCCATCAAGGAAACACATCGAACCAGCTGGGAAACATTGGGAACTGTGTCAATTTATTTTTTCCGCAAGTTCGACTAAGACTGAAGTGCTAGTACAAAAACATTTGATGACAACACCTGGTAAAAACAAATAAGACTCAACTTCCATACCGCAATCAGCAATCAAGTATGTATGCAATCAAGAAACAAACTTTGGCTCTAAAAGTTATTATGTGAAAGGCTCTTCCTCAAGTTAAAAGAGACTCTTCTATGAAATCAGTCTACCACGAGAGACACACCAGGTTCAGATGAAAGATCACTTACACATACAGGGTCCAATGTCTTCAAGCCTACCAAGGCATATGAAAATGAATAGGTACTGAATACATTTAACAAAACCAGCATAGACACATAATAATGTGCTTGTGTTGGCAAGAATTAATCACGATTAAATGCTGGTATTTTGCTTTTCAAATAAATGTCTGGCTTTGACAATTTCTTACTAACCTGGAACTTTCTTTTAGGGACACATCCATACTTATATGGTATTGGACAGGACAACTGTGAACCAAAATGTGTTGGTAGCTTGTTTCAGTAAAATAAATATAGTGCTGCATGCTCTGTGTCAAAATCAAAGCAAAGAAACTCCAATTTCTAATGATTTTAAACATACAAGGATTGTATAATTCTGTAGAGCAGCGGTTCCCAACCTTTTTCAACTCAGGGCCCACTTAAGAATCAAAAAACATCTTCGCGGCCCATATTCAACCATAAACAATACGGAGGCTAAATAAAGTTCTGATTGGTCAATTCAGAACATTGGACACGTTGTAAATCCAGTAGAACAGACTAGAAGGACTGTAATGACCGTTGCTAAGGAGGATCAAGAAAGAGAAAGGAAAAGAGGTTAAAATAAAATCTTAATAATGAAAATGTTTCCACACAAATCATAATGTTTTGCAAATGATTTGGCGGCAAATATTGAATTTACATTTACACCCTTTAATATTTTATTTGGGCTTTTAGATGAAGACTGCACACAGTTAATAAATGCAACTATTCTCCTGGCTTAAATACATATTTTTAAAAGTCAATCAAGGAGTAATCTTAATTTAAGGTGTTTGAAGAGTAGATTAAAAATACAATTTCTTTTGGAAAAAATTATTGCCACAAAAAATCAAAGGGTGGCTCAACACGCCATGAAATGGGAAATAGTTAGCTCTAACGAAGAGTGGGATTAAAGGAACAATATGCTTGCCATGTTGTGTTTCTGGTGGTATTTGGTTGTCAACCTATTTTTGTTTGTGAAATGTTGAAGTGATCCTACTGACTGTATCTTTATTTCTTCTGTTTTTGTCTGAGATGAGAATGTCATCTCCTATATGTTATTGTTATGTCCATGTTTGTGTCTTTAGCCTGTACAAAAAATACAAAATAAATAAAAATTATTTGGCGGCCCACTTGCAATGCCTTCAGGTTGGGAACCGCTGCTGTATACGATTAAATATAACACCATTTATATTGGATGAAGTTGAGTAGTTGTCTAAATCCTAATCAATAAAAGTCATGTACATGAAATACTTATTTAGTTCCTCTGATATAACACAGTCCTTTAGTGATGTAAATCTAATGACCTCTGCAATTGAAACCGAAACCCTCTTTAATCACACATGCAGAGCACACGGTGTTGTTCTCTGCATTTAACGCATCCTAGTACTAGGAGCAGTGGGCAGCTATTGTACAGCGCCTGGGGTGCAATGGGGGGGCTGTCTGGTGTCTTGCTCAAGGGCACCACGGCAGGGCCCAGGAGGTGAACTGGGACCTCTCCAAGTACAAGTCCACACTCCATATTTAGGTCTGTTCGGGGACTTGAACCGGCGACCCTACGGCTCACAATCTAAGCCCCTACTGACTGAGCCACTGCCGGACACATCGGTTAGCTGACCTTTCTGAGCTTCTTTGGTCCAACACTTTTGGTTTACAATGAAAATCTTCAATTTAATTGAGGTAACCATACTGGAAATGTGATTTTCAACCACATGTATCAAAAACACATTTGATTCGGCATAGAATTTGTACTTAGCTCGAGTTTAAAGCAAAAGTTTCAACCTGCAACAGGTTGAAGCAACACAGCCATACAGTGGGAAGTTTTCAAAATGTGAAAGTATGGTATTGGTTGACAAAAACAGAGCCAGGCAAAGCCTATTAGATGCAGCTCTATCTGCACATGGGGACTCGTTAAAGTGTTTTTAAAATATCACACAATCTTACAATTGCGAAGTTCATTAAAGTGTATTTTCAAATGAAAAAATTAAATAAATCAAAAGTCATATTTGCTGCCAGAGGCTTCCAGCACAAAGCGAATGCATAGAAGATTTGTATATATACACAAGGTAAATAGTTAAGAATAGTTTATAGTTTAGATTAATTGTTATTATCCAAGTTCCATGAGTAACTAAAGTTTGAAATAATAAACAACACATAAATACATTACGTAATGTCAGATGTATTATAGTAATATAGCAATACTCTTAAACAACAAGTATTGCAATAAATGCAACAAAAAGGTGGCCAATACATTTGGCTTCTGCAACTGCCCTGGGAGTTCACAGATACTGTGACCCCAGCCCCCTCACAGCGGAGACGCTTGTTGAAACGAGTTTTGTTCATCGTTAATCATTTGCTTGCATGTTGTAAAGGAAACAAATGCACATGCTTAACTTCTCTAAGTTCAATAATGTGCTGAAATGCCACTAATTACTTTTGCAGTCGAAACCCACCGCAACATCAAAAAGTAGTGCATTCAAACAAAGCATTAGTCACCCAGTTATACAACAGTAACAAATACAGATATCCTTCACCTTAAATGTAACAGTTCAAAATACATTTGTGTAAGTGCATGCTCTCTTTGTTACATCTTAACAGGAGGTTTTCAACCACTCCTTTTCATTTATTTAATTCTCATTCAAGTTAACTGTCTTAACTTTTATAAAAGCAGATCAAGACTGAATACTTATTTTTAAACTACCATTTAACCCCCAAACATCAGTCCCCAAAGTCAAATCCTTCACTTTGAACGAGAAAGCGGTAAATGCATCTTATAAAGTTGCATACAAAAAATACATTTGAGGCAATGAACTCTGCCATCTTTAGGTTCCAGGCACCACTTCATATTAACCCTGTAAAGCCCAAATATAGAAAACAATATTTGAGGCATTTTACTTACTTGAATCTGAAATATCCAGTCCAATAAAACAAAGAGATGTTGCTCGTTTGAAGAATCGGAAGTGTGTGGCCAGAGGGCAAGACCTATAAACACATTTAATACCCAATAGCATTGTGAGGCTTAACAAAAGGACCTTTTGACTATGTAAATGTAGTCTTTAAATGTAGTCTTTAAAAAAAAAAAACATTTACTGACTTGTAAATATTTAAATAGCTTAAAGTAATGTTGCAAAATTACAACCGGGGGCCTTACAGGGTTAACACATGCAATTAGAAAAGCTGCACAAGCTGAGATAAGATGGCAGGGAGTGTAACGCTTCTGCCTTTGCTAGGTTTTACTAATATGATCATTAACAGTGTTTCAATGAAAGAAACAGTGTTTCAATGAAAGAAAGTAAATCCAGTCAGGCTGGAAGGGTTTGAATGAACAAAGATATAAAAATAGGAGAGTGAAATGACTCTTAGTGATGAGAGCTTGTGCTATATTTTTTTTCCCCAATTTTACATTATAAGTTAAATACAGTGAATGTACATCAACATACAGGCCCTGCTACCTTCATATGCTGCAGGGGCTCATTAACTGAAGCATCTTTTCAGACAGGTAATGTGAGAATCCCCAACGTCTTCATAGATCAGTGCTGACTGCTTTACTGACTGTCCTGCTTTCTAATTCTTGCTGGAAAGTGTACCTTGAAAGTGTTAACATAACCTACAAAACGAGTCACAACTGTACGCGTGCACACACTTACATGTGTCCTAGATGTGCTCTGGTACTTGACAATTGACAAGTAGCATTGTAGCCCCCATTGCAGTCAAACCTGCAGGATGGAGGAAGAGCCGGAATGATTAACATGTTGCTGAGTTTGTCTGATGGACCTGTCCACCAATCAATCATTTTGGATAATGATTTTTTCCAGATGTCATGGGGTCATATGAGGATCTCCACCATGTCGTTGTCCACTTCCTGTTGGATCGGCGGTGCTGTAGGGAGAGCCATTTGCTGTTGGTGCGACTGAATGGTGAACCGTCTCTCGAGGATGCTGCTGTGAAACACTGGCACATCTGCATAGAACAGTTCAAAAAAATATTAATTAGTTAGCGTTGCTGATGGTCCAGTCTTAGTAAACAAAACAAAACCAAAAAACATCAGGTTAGCCTACAGTCCATAGACCCTCTGTTCTGTGTCCTAACAGGGAAAGACTGATATTTAACATTGCGTGATTCAGGGGTTCTACAGGGTTTACTCATTGGGTCCATTTGTTTTTGAGTACTTTAGACCTTTGCCTGACTCCTCCAAGTTATTGCGGTGTGATCAGAGCCTAAAACATCTCCCAGATTATACTGACATGTCTGACAAACAGTTTGAGCTGACCTGCCAGGCGGTCGGGGATGTAGACTGGGCTTGGGCTGGACAGGCGAGCAGGCAGAGTCATGCTCTGCACGGCGGGCGTGCTGGGTTTGCTATTGTCCTGACTTTGTCCTTTGTCTGTCTGTGTGCAGCTGTCCCTGCTGCCTGTCTTCGAATGGCCTGCGAACGGGGTGGAAGGAAGCACTGGTGAAGGGGATGAAGAGATTGACTCAGTCCTGATGGACTCTGTCCGAAACTCAGAACCAAGCAAAACCCCTGCAGGAACATCAGCAGAGATCAGTTGTTAAAAGTGACATCCATCAGCTGTTCTCAAAAAAAGGCTCACACATGGTAATGAATATTGGTTATTACCTAGGCTGCCCTTCCAGCTGGTGTCCTTGCGTTCTTCAGTGATCGGCGAGCTACTGAGGCCGAGGCTGTGAGAGAGCAGTCCTGAACCACCGGAGCCAGTGTTCGAAATGGACATCAGGGACTTGGAGGGCCTCATAGCAGATTGCGCATCTGACTTGATGGGCTCCTTCTTGGAGCGCTGGTGAAGCACCTTGATCATAGCATCTTTCTCTATGATCTGGGCATGAAGATTCTTTATCCTGTATTAGGCAGAACAAGAGCATGGACCTGAATGGAGCCATAGTTCCAGGACAACCAAACCTAGAGAGCTATGTGAGCACAAGTACACCACTAGTTAAATTATTTGGACTAATGACAAAAAGTACACATTGTAACCTTTAAGTTCTGATCTCCTTTGTGTTTACGCTGGCACAAACACACCAAAAAGACTAAACATCAAGTCATATAGACTGCATCCAGTGGCAACATTGGCTGGAAAATGAAGCAAACACGGAAGAGCCATCAACTGCATGCCAGCCAAGCTCCTTGAATGGCTGCTTGAGGCTGGCTCCAGAAGAGAGTTAAAAAGCCTCTACTTTATAGAGGAAATGGACATGTTTACAGCCTGGTACAAAAAACAGGTTTTGGCTCATAGATAACTACTCAGTTATGAAAACTATGGGGGTGAATTTTTATATAACTGGACCATTTAAATCCATCCCAGGTGCCTCATTTATAAAACTTTGCGTAGGATTCATGTGAAAAGATGGCGTACGCAGGAACAAAGGAAGTGCATAAGCACAAAAATATTCTGATTTATAAAACTGTTCGCACACACGTCCTACGCCGGTTTCCCATTATAAATCACAACCAACTTGAAATGCGGCGCAGCTTTTGCAGGCTTCACGTAACACCCATATTTGCCTATAAATAGTCAAAGAAACGCCCTGTATTAATATTCATTTAGACTGACTGCATGAAGAAGATCGCAGGAAATGACGACAGAACAGCTAAAAAAGACATTTCACACCATGTCAGATGTTGGTTCTTTTGTTTGGTGGATACCCTGCATGTTTGAACCAGAGTAGCAGCATGAAGGTCGGATCGTCACCAAAATAAATAAATAAGTGGTCCGAAAAAGTTAATTACAAAATACACATAACCTTCCTCAGGCAGTGTGTCAGTGTGTTTATACATGGGACAGGAGACCCCCCCTTGATGATAAATTGTACGAAATGATCGGGGGAATCCCTCCGGAGTGGAGGGGGGGTGTGCCCGTCACCAGAATCACAGGATAACAAGTGCAATCAAGCTGGGTTTGCAAACGGCACAAAACATGATTAAACATGATAGTATATAAAACCATGCTCGTATCTATACAACCTATAGAAATGCAAAATGGCGTCAGTTTAGATGTAATTCTGTCCTTCTGTTTACCGCATCATTTATGAGAATACATTTCATCACATCTAAGAGAACATATTCGAGGGGTGATCAATAACATATCCGTATTTATTTATTTCTCCATGTTATGTTTTTGTGTGCACTGAAGAGTCTCAAACAGGCGGTTGTTTAATCATTTTAAGATTGGCTTGCGTCACCCACCATCCTTATTTGTATAAGCCGGGAGTAAGGTGGAGTGTGCACTGCCAAGATGGCCGCTGCCTGAGCCACTACGCCTCACAGGGTTCTTGAGTGACCTGGCTGACGTCCTAGACAATATTTCCATATTCTCATATTGCGAGCACTATCTGTTCCTAAAGTGGTGACCCTGTATTTTCTACCACTGTGCAACCTGGCTAGTGTTTGCTTAAGGAAAATGCCTTTCCTCTGTTTTCACCACACCTAAAGCGAACAAGTGCAGTAGTGCCGTTACACCTAGGTAGTGGTGGCTGCTTGATAACTCCCCTGCTGTCTTTGCACTGCAGTGCAATTCGTTTTAAAAGAACTGTGCCTGAATAACTTGAATAACTTGAGGAATTTGGGGTGGAACTTGTTAATGTTTTATTTTTTCATGTGTTGATGTTCCCAGATTAATGAAGAGCATTAGTGCGTTAATGTTGATAAAAGAGTGTTGCTGGGATCATGTTACCTTCTTGAGTTAAGGAGTTTTTACCAGGTGTTTCACTCCATGCATTTATACATACATATCTATCTCTCAGGAAGACTGCATGTATGTGGAGATGCTTTACCTGCTTTCCATATCTAAACAGCGGCGATTGGCCATCAGAATCTCTTCTTCTTCCTTCTGGATTCGAGCCTCTACTGACGTGTTATAGCTGCTGCTGGGAGAATGGCCGATCACTGATGCAGCTGTGTCCCTGCCAAACAGGACGGAGCCTCCATTAGATCATTTCAGGCTTCAAAAGTAGCAGCACTTCACACTTTATTGCTGACCTTTTAAGGACCGTCACGAAGAGCATTCTGTTGTCAAGTTTGCAATCAACACCACTGTCCACGGCCACATTACAATAATTGACAGGAGGCAAAGACACGCACTTTAAGAACAACCAACTTAAATAATAAGAAAGCCAAATCGAAGAAAGCATCCTGACTCTAAACATTACAAACTGACATGGGTTGTGCACAGCCCAGGAAAGGAGGACTCTGCACCCCTGATTAAAGCTGACATCAAAAGGTAAGGAGCCTGCCAGTCAGTTCAACTTAGTGCCATCTGGCAAGCGATACTGTTTCCGCTGCCATACAGAATAGCTACTTTTCTAAGGTTGTAAGACTCCTCATCCTATCTTGTTGAGCACAAAGGGACTACAACTTGCATTTAGTTTTTCTGCATTAAAAATAAACTAACCTTGGTCATATGAGAGGAAATGTCAACAACTGTCTTGCACATATACCTCTGAGTGGCCACAGAAGCAGCAGCATCAAGGGCAAACTGCCTCATCACGCTCTCCTCTAAGTACTTCTGTTCCCATTTGGTCATGTCGGCCTCAAGAGCCAGGATGCGCTCTTCCTTCTCCCTCAGGTGCTCCATCAGCGCTGTGGCGTTGTACTCTGATGATACTCCTCCACTGCTTTGAGTGGCTCCCTGACGCTTGGTGGGACAAACAGGGGAAGCAGAAATAATGAGGGAGACAGAAGAGGCACTTAAAAATATTGATAGCTATGTTATCTTTCAACTGTAGTAATTTGCTGATATGGCCAAACAATATTTTGTATGTGTGTTTTTCACAACACTGATTCATACTACCTGAATGTATTCACAATGTATCTATAGATTTAGATTTGAATTTATTGTGTACGGTCATTTGTAAATCCATTAGGGCTGCCCCCAAATAGTCGACAAAACGTTAGTTAGCTTAAACAAAGTATTATTCGACACATTTTTCATTAGTCTATTAGTCAAAGAAAAAAAAAGAAAAGAAGAAAAAAAGCTCCATCCGCGCTGTGTGTGCTCTGCTGGAAGACCCCTCAGACTTCATTCAGAGCTGTGGCTGGTCATTGAGTTCATTTTTGTCGGCAGGAAATCCAAAGTCTGATGCATGTAAAGGACGAGCCCCACAAGGTGACATGCAAACTCCGCAGGAAAGAAGTGGCCTCCGTTTCCACGCCATCGGAGCGCAGCTTCCCGAATGCGGCATCAATGCAAAAACATAGAGCTTTCATTCCACGATCAGTGCGTAATGGCGGAGGTGTTTTTGTTTCCGTTTGCGGTGATGTATTTATTGGTTTGTAATATTCATTAACATTTTAAATATAAATGCTTTAGTTTTTTCACTTATCATTTGTTAGTTATTGTTGGCATTACAACTTATGTGCACATCCACAAATTGTTTGAGATGTAAGTTATTTTATACTCTGTTGAGAGAATAAATGAACTAAATGCTCTGTGTGTGTGTGTGTGTGTGTGTCCTCGCTGCTTGTTCACACACACATTAGGAATCCTTCCCAGAGCTTCTGCTGGGTGTAAACACCGCTGACGGACAGACTGCTTAAGCCGTGCGTTGCGCTATGACTCACATGCAGTTTCCACATGTCAAATGTAATTTATATTTCAAAAGTTCATTATTACAGTTTAACATTACATTTTATATGAAGCATAACGTTCTTTATCAGCCCTTGAAAGTCAAACCATTTTGGGAGAAAAAATAAATAAATACAAAAAAATTGATTTATACTTTTGGCCCAGACTTAAAATAATGTAATCATTTGTGGTAATTATGCAGGGCCTCTTCCTTGCACCGGCATGGCGGTTACCTGCTGCATGCGTAGCGACTCCAGCTCTCGCTCCAGTCTCGTTCGAAGTCGATGCTCGAGTTGTTCTCTTTTCTCACAGGCTGCCTGGAGCTGAGCCAGAGCCTGCTGCATCCTCTCCACCTTCTCAACGTAAACCTGCTTCTTCTTTAGCTGCGCATAGACAGAGAGAAAGAGAGGAAAGCCAATATTTACATAATTGTCTTCTGATCTGCTATTTCTCCTTAACAAAGCCTACTCCACATGTTTATAACATTTCGTGTCAAGAAATGAGGACTCCAAGATGAGGTAACCTCAAAAGCTTTCTTAGTGGTAGTGCTTCAGTTGGATTTAAAAAAAAATATTTGTATTGAAGACACATGGCACATCAATGGGAACCACAGTTACAAATGATACAATAGTTAAAAACAACTAGTGATCAGCTTAGTCTTAACTACTATCCCAGCTAGAAATTCTTTGTTCTAAAAACATTCTGAGAATGTTACATTCATTGTTCTAGGAATGTTTTCAGCGGGAAGTTTTCTTTTGGTTCCCAGCACGTTCTTCTGAAAGGTAGGATAACGTTCTCTAAAAACATTCTTAAAATGTTTGGTGATAACCTTCCTAAAATGTTTTTGATAACATTGTTAGAACATTATGCCCTACTATTCTTAAAACGTTTTCAGCAGAAGCTTTTATTTTGGTTCCCAGAATGTTCTTCTGAAAGCAAGGGAATGCTCCGGTTTTCGGACAAAATTAACATGGGATCTCTCCGGTCATTGGACGTACTTCGTCTCACTGGAATATTAAAGGTCAGATTGAATACAAAATCGACCCCATTTCTCCGGCCAATGACGGGAGAGTTTTGAAAGTGACAAAACACTGTTCCATACATTTAAAAACACTTAAACAATTAAACAATGTTTACCCAGGATTCAGGCACCTTCCCTGGCTTGTAAAGTGCGGTGATGCGCCCTGGAGGTATCATACTATTTAAAAAAATGTATACCCAGGATTCAATCACTTTTCCTGGGTTGTAAAGTGCAGTGATGAGCCCTGGTAGTATCAGACTATTTTAAAGAACTTTTCCCCGCCTTTCAAACACTTATTCCTGGGTTTTAGCCTGTCATTTTGCACGATATCATTTAACATTGACCCTCTCCTGAAAATGTACATATTCTGTGCATTTCTAGGAGAGGTTCAATGTTAAATGATATCGTGCAAAATGACAGGCTAAAACTCTCTTCCAGACGTTTAAAAACACTTTTCCCGACCATTTAAACATTATTTCCGGCTTGTAAAGTGCAGTTATGTGCCCTGGAGGTATCAGACTATTTCAAACAACTTTTCCCCGCCTTTCAAACACTTATTCCTGCCTTAAAAAGTCAAGTGTTGCACAGCCTGCTCTCTGGGTACACTCTGTCTCTATTCACACCACTTTTACCCATGATTCAAACACTTATTCCTGGGTGGAAAAGCCATGTTCTGCCTCCTCCTCTCTCGGTACACTCTGTCTCTATCTACACCACTTTTGCATTTTCATGCATTTTTTCATGGATGAATTTAAAGTCATTTTTTAAACTTTTTGGTCTGTTTCACCCAGTTCTTGCCACCGCGTTGCCTGGAGGATAGGACCGAGAGATGACACTCTCTGGCCACCTCACAAGTCACTATTATCGGACACTTTCTTTGCTTTACCCCGGTTCTATCACTCTTTCCTCCTTTAATAATAATAATAATAATAGCTTGCATTTATATAGCGCCTTTCAAGGGACCCAAGGTCGCTTTACAGTAATAGGGCAAAAACAAACATAACAAAACAAAAGTCAGACAGACAAAACAACAGATCGATTAGGGGCCGAAAGCCTTGGCAAACAAATGGGACTTGAGGGCCCTTTTGAAGGCGTCGAGTGTGGGGATGTTGCGAATCTCCGCAGGGAGAGCGTTCCAGAGGGTGGGGGCTGCCACACTGAAGGCTCTGTCCCCGAAGGTTCGCAGTTTGGTGCGGGGGGTGGTAAGCAGGCCAGAGTCTGAGGACCGCAGGTTCCGGGGTGGGGCATGTGGGTGAAGGATGTCCGATAGGTACTGGGGGGCAAGGGCATGGAGGGACTTGTAGGTAAGGAGGAGTACTTTGTAAGATATACGGGACTTGACCGGCAACCAGTGTAGGTGGATGAGGGTGGGAGTGATGTGCTGCCACGGCTTTGTGTGTGTGAGTACACTAGCAGCACAGTTTTGGACATACTGGAGCCTGTCCAGGGTTTTTTTGGGAACCCGAACAGGACACCATTGCAGTAGTCCAGGCGGGTGGTGACAAATGCATGTACTAGGGTTTCGGCAACCGACTCCGAGAGTGATGGTCGGAGTCTGGCAATGTTCCTCAGGTGGAAAAAGGCCGATTTGGTCACAGATTTGACGTGGGAATGGAAGGAAAGGGTGGAGTCAAGGATGACACCCAGGTTGCGGGCTTCAGGAGATGGGGAGATGGAGCAGCCGTCGACCTCGAGGATGAAGTCACCAACCTTCTGGAGCAGGGCCTTGGGTGCCACAACCATGAGCTCCGTTTTATTGCTGTTCAGCTTAAGGTAGTTGGAAGACATCCATGTTTTGATGTCAAGCAGGCAGTTGATGAGGGACTGAGGGGGGAGCTGGGAGGATGGAGTGGTGCTGAGATACAGTTGGGTATCATCAGCGTAACAGTGGAAATTGAGTCCATGATGTCGGATGATCTGGCCGAGGGGGAGCATGTAAATGGTGAACAGGAGGGGGCCAAGCACAGAGCCCTGGGGTACACCGTGGTGGACTGGGGCCGGGGATGAGTTTGAGCCACTGATGGAGACAAACTGTTTCCTGTTATGGAGGTAGGATGTGAACCAGGACAGCGCTGTGCCAGTGACACCTAGGAGGTCTGAGAGGCGGGTGAGGAGGATGTTGTGAGAGATGGTGTCAAACGCTGCAGAGAGGTCCAGGAGGATGAGGATGCTGAGGCGGCCAGAGTCAGCAGCAATGAGGAGATCGTTGTTGATCTTGATGAGGGCAGTCTCAGTGCTGTGTTGCTGTCTGAAGCCGGATTGGAAGGGCTCATAGAGCTCATGGTTGGACATGTACAGATGGAGTTGGCCGGCGACCACTCTTTCCAGAGTTTTGCTTAGGAAGGGAAGGTTGGAGATCGGCCGGTGGTTCTGGAGGTCGTCGGGGTCCAGGCCAGGTTTTTTGAGTATGGGGGTGACTGAGGCCATTTTGAAGCTGGTGGGGACTATACCAGGAGCCAGAGAAGCGTTGATGATGACCACCATGTAGGGACAGAGGGTGGGTAGGCAGTCCTTGACCAGGGCTGTGGGCATGGGGTCCAGGGAGCAGGTGGAGGTCTTGGCCGAGCTGACCAGTTTGGCCACTTGGAGAGCATCCACAGGGGAGAAGGAGGAGAGGTTGGAGTGGGAGAGGCGCGGCGCTTGGGGTGCGTTACCAGGTGGCTGCTGGTGGATGACCATACAACCCGTTTCCTGCTGGGGTGGTGCCTGGTTCCGGGGCACCATGAATTGATGCATCAGACCCAATGTTGCCATCACCAGCCCCGCGTTGGTGCGGAGGTGGGACCATTCAACCCGGTGGTAACCCAAGCCCTCCCTTGGTCCGTGCACCATGAATTGAAGCATCGGACCCAGTGTTGCAATCACCGGTCGCGGCTGGCTAAGGACTCGCCCTCTCCCCCAAATCACTGGTACACTGGGAATGGACGGGGGAATACCATGCGTGAAATCACGTTGCCTAAAAGCATGGAAGCGTACCTTCAGACATATAGGGATCATTGTGAGGGTGTTGCTCCGACATTAAAACAGAAAGACAATGTTCTGTTGAAGGTCAGCCGGATAAATAACTTCCTCGTATACATGGCCCATGGTGTTAACCGGCTGTCAGACTGGCTGTTCCTAAAATACATGAAGAGGATCCGTGGCTGGATCAAGTATATTTCAAAGTCGGGCCGGGCAGTCACAACATTAGAGTTCTTCCTGAAGAATGTGAACCACTTCATGGGGTACATATCTGAGTCAAAGCCCTGGGGGTGCAGGCTCACCCAGTCTGATATGACCCACATAATCAGAGAGGTGAAAGCCAACATGAAAAACTTGAATAAGGCAGTCACTGTCCACCAGTTTAAGGTGAAGAGGAACAAACTGGATCGTCTGCCGAGCCAGGGGGAGCTTCTTGCCGCCATGGCGGCCGCTGAGAAGCGCATCCCGGAGCTCCTCGACCTGATGGCCAGCAAGCCGACCTCAATCACCCAGTACCTGTTCTATGGCTATCTCACCCTCCATTGGAGCCTCCTGTATGGCCACCGTCCGGGCGTGTACGCAAACATGACCAACACTGAGGTCTTAGAGGCGGACATAAGGGGAACTGCTGAGGGCTACATCATCCATGTGCAGGATCACAAGACGGCCAAGACATTTGGCGAAGCACAGCTGGCGCTTACAGTAAAGGAGTTTAGCTGGGTCATGCGGTGGATGGGGATTAAAGAGGCATTGCTGGGTCCTCAGAATGAATTCTTCCTTTTCACAACGGGGATTTTGGCCTCCAAGAACCTGAACGCTCACTTGAAGAGGGCATGGGCTGATGCTGGGCTAGAAACAGCCGTCACCTTCACAATCCTGCGCACCTGCTAAACATTGGGAATATTTATACCGTGTATACTGTTTTTGTTATGCATACTGTGTATACTGTTTTTGTTAAAATAAAAACATTGTTTTAATTAAATAAATATTAAATATAACCTTGAAGGTTCCCAGGGGCAGATAAAGTGCCACTTTCCATCAGCACCGGGGGGGCACTCTCCTTGGTGCTGAACCCTGTGATGAGCGCTCAAGTGTTGGCGGAGGAGGTGTAAGCCAGAGGAGGGTGAAAAAAAGTTAAAGTGTTTGAACCTCCAGCCCAGAAGGGGGGTGGTGGTGCCAATAAGAAGGCCGAATTTGGATGCTGAGGGGCGGGCAGCATTAAGGTTACCAGGGGCATGAGAATACCCTCCACAGAAGGGGTGGTGGTGCCGTGAAGAAGGATAAATATGGATGCTGATGGGCGGACATAAAAGCACCACAAAATCCACCCCCCTTTTAGGGTCACCAGGGGCACGAGGTTCTGGTGGGTGTGAATATCTGGGTTTAGTCCGTGGGGGGAGT